AAGGCAAGTGCTTGCGGTAACACCATTATAATATACGAAATATCTCTTTTGTGAGTGTGTGTGGCTTTGAAAGGAGCTAGTTCTACTCAATGTATTGCACAGGAGGTTCTGTCAATCTTCCATGTTTTATCATTTGACAATGCTGCGTAAACCCAAAAAGGGTCTGGTGCTGGGTGCGCGGCCGCATGACGTTCAAGTGTCGGTCCAGTCTCTCTCTCTTTGTCACTGGTTAGGGCACACTTGTCCACAATTATCTAGTGAAGAGTATTATGGATAACAGCACTCATTGGTCTCATAGCCAGGGGAGTGGTTGAAAGTTTGCAGAGTCGTAGAATGCAACAGGATGGAGATTTCTGCGCAAAATCAGGATGCAGAATTAGAATGGCAAATGAACTGTAGCTGCAAAAAAGGGGGCAAATGTTGAAGATAAAGATTATCGAATATGATTTTACAATCATATTCCTAAATAGGCTATTGTTTTAATAAGGTGTTTATATGCTTATTTTGTAATTTAACCACGGAGAGGGTGGAAATTGTCTGGCTATATCACCTTGCCTTGCACTTAGAAATGACTTTACAAAATCTTTCAGGAAAATCCTGATGAGAGTGACAGCACCCCACCCACCTGTGAGATCCTGAGTTCCGGGGGTGGCTGCACGGCCCAACAGATGAGCAGCGACTGCAACAAGCATGAATGGTGGGTGCGTGCTCGTGCTGTGGATAATAACATCGTGACTGAGGTTGTGTTGGACCCTGAGGTTGAAGTTGGCGGCACGGGCAAGCAGTCGCTCGTCTACGAGTCCTTTTTTCCGACCAATGTGACCTTCAAGTACTCGTAAGTTGAGAGAGACCTGAGCACATCTCTAGGAATTATTGGGCTGCAGGTTTCTAGGTTGATGAGCAGTCCTTAGTAAGTTCAGAACTCTCGTAACAAACCTATGCATGTTATTGGTATCACAATAACACGTTTTCATTCCAAAAGCTGTTTAAATAGCAAATAAGTTAAAATTTCCTGGCATTGTATGATACAGTGCAAGAGTGATTACCTATAGGAAAGGGCTGTAAATTTAGAAAAAGAAATAAAACAACATTGCAACATTGACTGTGTAATAGTTAAGGTGTATGGCATCATGCATGTCAAATAACAAGGTAATAGTAGACTTGTATTGATTCTTCTGAAAAAAGGAAGCTTAACCATTATGACAGACTTGATTTTAGTGATTTGGGGAGATTGTGCGTATTTTGTGGAAAATTCCACCGTTGATGTAACGGTCGGATTTATAGGCCTATTAAAACAGGGTTTCTGGACTCTGGACTTTGCCTGAATCAAACATGCTTCTCATACCGTCTCTTAATGAAAAGACGCACCCAAAGAGTAGGCCTATCATCGGCAGGAAAAAAAATAATATCAAACATCTAGCCAGAAGGTAGAGCCTTTTGCAGTGTTGTTTCTGTAGTGATTTGTGCATTCCATTTGCATCTTCACCTTGAAGTGCGTCCTGCTGTTGTCCAATCATGAAGTTCACTGTACGTGATGGGGCCAGCAACGAAGCCTCATGTGGGAAGGACCACTACACCGCGCTGTCCGGTCAAGTGGAGAAACCAGATTGTAATGGACCGGTAAGTCCTGCTTTGCATTTTACTGCAGCAAAATAGGGCCTATGCAACTTCGACATCTGAAATGCTCATCTTTATTACACTTTATCTGTTGATTGGTCAACGCTAGGTGGTTGGTCGCAGGGTTGATCTGAAATGCTCATCTTTATTACACTTTATCTATTGATTGGTCAACGCTAGGTGGTTGGTCGCAGGGTTGAGTTTTTGGTCAACTCGTCTAAAAGAGCCATTGATCAGCACAAAAAAGTAGCCTATAAAATTCTAAAGGTACCATCCCCATTCATTCATAGTTTGTAAAGAATGAGTAAGTGGAGTTTGGCCGTGCTGTGCAGTTAGCTTCAGGTTAGTCTGGATTTTTAACTTCCCCGATTGTCCACGCAGGTACTCTCTGACACTGGCTTAAGCATAGGGGCGATTGTCGGCATAGCTGTTGGCTCCGTGGCAGCAGTGGTCATCGTGGGAGCCGTGGTCTTCTTCGTGGCAAAGCACACCTTCGGCGCGAGCGGAAAGGCCAGCAGATCTGTCACCCCACTGTGCTACCCCTCAACTGACAACGAACCACTCTCCTACAAAAACCCTATGCCCGCCATCCACGAGAGCCAGAATTATTACAATAAACAATAAGTGCAAGGAGGGACTGCAGAATGTTCAAGTGCCGTGGGCCAGTGATTGGTTGAACACTTGGCAACATGCAAGTTCTTGTTTTTCAACTGTGCTTGCATGGTACAAGTGAAATTACAGAAAAATGCTTGTTTTGAAGTAAGAACAAATATGTTTACCGTGTACATGTACCAGTCAAAACTGACTATAATGCACTTACAAATTAAATGCAACCTTGTGAAAGAATTAAACTTATTTTGATGCCAAGCAAATTTTTTAAGTGTCTTGTTTGTAGTGATATTGTAGTTTTTCGTTGCATTCAGTGTATGCATGTGCATAGATTCTTGTAGATTTATCCAAAAAAGAAGAAATACATATATCACTATTTTGTTAAATTATTTTTAAAGATTTTTATTTGCTTTGTGTGCATACCTGACAGTCATTTAGGATGTAATTATGCTATTCACTAAACAATAAGTTTATGAACAGTCTGGGCCTAAGTGTTTAAAATTGGAAACTGTAGGAAATGTATTATGAAATGAGGTGTTCAATTCAAAAGCGCTCTACGCTCACTGTAGAATAAAAATAGCATCATTTGGTGAGGCAAGTTCTTTCTTGGTCGTTTGAATTTATGTCAATTTAAAATTCTTAAATTCTTGTCTGTGCTTTTTGAGTGTGACAACATGGAAAATCAGTTTAACAATGGATTGCTGGTTTTTCAGCACAATGTATGAAGTGTTAATCTTTCCAGTAGGCACAGGATAAGATTAAAGGCCGGTTCATACTCGGTGGGAAATCTAGCAACGTCAGATCAAAATATTTGTATTGCGAGTCCGCAAAAGTTTGACGCATTTCAGCTCGGGCGAACTTTCGCTGCAAATTTTTCGTGACGTCAAATTCGCTTCGCTTTCGCATTCGCCTGAAGTATGAACCGGCCTTAAGGTTGCACCCGCTTAATCTTGACCTTTGCCCTTTGAAAATAGAGGGGCGCGCTGACTATAGACGTAGCTGTAGCTCTGGAAGGCCGATTGGGACACGGTCTAAGTCGGCTTTTCTTCACATTTGTAATAAACTTTTCAATGATTTCAGTATTTTCAGTGTTTTCTGTTGTTACCCAGATATTGCTGTCCCTGAAATCATAGTTGTGAATACATAAATTAAGTTGCATTTAATTTCAATTAAATAAATTTAATTGAGTGTGGAATATACAACCCGAATTCGGTTCATTTGATTTCATTCACAGAAACTCCTTTGAGTCAGTACTGTGTAAATTGGGTATAATTTAAGTTTAATTATAAATTCCAACTTCATTTTGAAGGGCATGCTCAGTCAGCGTCCTTTGAGAAGTTTCAGAGATCACAAGACTAACTCGTTACATTTGAAGTTCATCTCCATGACACCGTTTTGCTTCCATGCTTTCCATCAAAAGCAAATCGATTTTTCACCCCGACAGGGCAATGGGAAGCATGTTTTTTTCATTACACAACTGCCTGCGATACACTATTTACTTTCCTCCAGGATTCCCCGGTTTAATGTTTGGAAAACATCCCCTAGAGCCACTAATGTAGGCTTTATTCAAGTTGAGTTTCCCAAGCGTGTTGCGTCAAGAATTATTACCACCGGGAAAACAAAATCGTAAATATACATAAATACGGATGACATTTGCCCGCACCATAGTCAGTGGCGTAGTCATGGGGGGGACACGTGCCCCCACAAATTCCCAGTGCCCCCCCCGGGCACCCCACTGAAAAAAAAATCGGATGATTGGATATTGAACGAGGCTATCAAAAACTTGCACCCAAAACCACACCACTGAAAGCTGGTGCCCTCATGAGATGCTCGTGTCCCCTTTGTGCCCCCCAGTAAAATCCTCGCTACGCCACTGGCATGAAGAACAGTCCAATGAGGCGGTCTCGTACGCAGATGAACATTTACGATTAAAATTTTATGGAAGTCTGTCGATAAAAGCCGAAATAAAAACAGATCAAAATATTTTACACACTGTTTTGATTTATTAGATCAACTTAATATTAAAGCAATAATGTACTTTTACAAATTTATTCTAATATTTTACTTGACCGTTGCTGACAACAACTGTGTTATGTCAAATCAACGGAACACGGAACCCATCGACTACAGGTAGGTAAATCTTTGTAACGTTTTACAATCTCGTTTTCACGTAAGCCCGTAGAGTGAAAAGACGCGTGCATGAACAAGGGGACCTACAATCCTGGACAAAATAGTTGGAACACCTTGCGGGAAGCGTGTTGCAAAGATCCCCCTCTCCCCCATTCAATGTTGCGTTCATTTATCGGACCGAGATTCGGCCCAACTTACCCACTGAGAGGCAACATTGACAGGGGGTGAGGAGGGAGGCATGTTCCAACGAGATTTGTCCAGGAATGTCTCTAAAAAGTCCGCCTTATCCGAATCCGGCTCGTAAGTGTGACGTCACTTCAGTTTTAACCACGCCCACTGTACACGTGCACTGCACATAGGGTTACATTCATTGATCTCCAGTATATAGACTGGATAGGACATTGCGTCCAAAACGCGTCTCGCGTATGCGTATTTTCAGGAGGGTAAATGATGAGCGTTGCGAATTTCGTTGCGTCTACTTTCAAAATGGAGTTTTTAAAAAACCGGTTGAGGTTTTCGTGCTCCATCAAATCGTCAGATTTTGCAGAAAAACTGAATTCCGCACCTGGAATGGATAAATTTGGAAAGAATAATGGTTGAGGTGTACGGAGCAGGGAATTACCGGAAATCAAGTCAAGTCAAGGCGTGAGCTCAACTTTTTAAGCTGATTAATATATGAATGAATTTTATTTCCATTTTTTTCACTGGAAATTCAAGATTGTGGGCAGAAGATCACTTTTTGTTTCAGTGTTATGGGGGTTAGCCGCGAAAAAAGTTTTTTTTTTCGCCTTTCCCCAAAGATACTCCTAAAATAGTAGTGAGACTATGCGCTCAATTCTGAAGGTAGTCGGCCGCCTCTATCCAAAATGGGCCCGCAATTTTGTGGTTTTTTTGTACAAGAAGTATCCGGACTTGGAAACTACCAGTCCAAAATTCGGGATTTATAGAAATATATTTATGATCCCTCGTGATTATGGCATGTCTTATTTTAAAAAACGGAGGGATCACAAATTACTAATAAGCTTGCGCGCAGAATTCCAACCATTTGGTGAAATGCGTCCTATTACGACTGTGCTTTCCCACATTAATTTGAAATAGCGCCCTCAAGTTTTGTGTTACATATTACATAGGTGTCCAGTCTTGCGTGTGTGACATTCAGGAACTAAAGAGTAAAACTGCATGTTTTGTGAGATTATGATCACTTTGACATTTTCGTGTATGTCAGTCGTGTTTGCCGAATTTACTTTTTTGGGGGAGGGGTCTGGTTTTATGCCCCCATTCCCCCAGGGGCCTTACTGAACTACCCATACAAACCTGTTTGAAATAACAGATACACTTTGGAAGTATTGAGTTTGAAAAGGGGGCTATTGACTATGCCATTTTTGTAACTCCGATTTCTGATATTAAACTTATGGCCAATGAGGCACGGATTAATCAAAATGACAACATTAAGTTTCAGTCAGCCTGATCAAAATTAAATTCGCAAGGAATCGCAGTTACCGGCTTCCATATAGGACTCTTCTGGGATCTGGGCCCACCACACTTCCTCCCTGCCCATCCATTTAACCCCCAAAAGGGTTCGAGCGACCATGCAAGGGAGGAAACGAGACAAGCCCCTAAGCTCTGGCCGCCGAGTCAACCATAGGTCTCGAACCTGTACTAAGGCGCTCACCTGGACTTCGCGGACAGTGCCAGCCGCAGAGCTTCAAGTTACCCGGTCGGCTAAGGTACTGCTGGTATTTAACGGGGGTCAATTGGAGTTTCTTATAGCAACTGACTGACAGCAAGCGTCGGAAAAATAAAAAGTCAAATCTGGGATTCGAACCCACCGTCTAACGAGCTGATAACCGCGATCTTAACCATTTGGCAATTTAAGAGAACAGATTTTTTTGTCGTTCGCATTAAAATTAAGGAGATAAACAAAACCTTACCGCACAGAATGTTGCTCTGTGCAGACCAAGTGATTAAACGCTACAATGGAGGGATTTCACATTGGCTCCGTCCGCGGATATACGTGTAGTGACCTGCACTTTGTAGTTCTAATTTATCGCATGGAAAACTATTTATCTAATTAATTATGCAGCCCGAAAACCACTCTACACTTTCCATGACATAAGCCTGAACATCCACT